CCACGTCTCTGGGCAGCCTGTCGCAGGGCTCTGACACCTCACAGTGAAGTTATTCTTCATGTTCATATGGAACTTCCTTTCATGTTCATATGGAGTTCCGCTTTGGCCCCATTGCCCCTTGTTCTGTCATGGGGCACCACTGAAAAGAGCCCGGCCTCATGCACTTGCCTCCCTTTAGATATTTACGCAGGCACTGATGAGATCCACAGAACGGCCAGGGTTGGAAGGGACCTCAAGGATCACGAATCTCCAACCCCCCTGCCACAGGCAGGGCCACCAACCTCCACATTTAATACCAGACCAGGCTGCCCAGGGCAACCTTGAACACGTCCAGGGACGGGGCATCCACAGCCTCTCTGGGCAGCCTGTTCCAGCACCTCACCACTCTCATAGTAAAGAACTTCCCCCTGACATCCAACATAAATCTCCCCTCCCTCAACTTAAAACTATTTCCCCTTGTCCTGCTGTTATCTACCCCCTCAGCCTTCTCTTCCCCACGTTGCACAACCCCAGGTCCCTCAGCCTTTCCTCATCCAGGAGATGCTCCAGGTCCCCACCATTTTTGTGCCCCTTCACTGGGCTCTCTCCAGCAGTTCGTGTTTACTGAACCGAGGAGCCCAGAACTGGACACAGTGTTTCTTTCCGAATGGGGACTTTACATTTATGCCTTTAGATGTGTTTGCAACTTTCACGCCAGGTATATGCAAGAAAATGGGCAGTGTGTAAACGAGATGGCTGTGGGCAGCTCTCACAAGTGTGTAGGTCTGTCCCTCACAGGGCTTTGCATGGCTGGGGGAAGCAGTGACAGTCTTACAGAGCTTTCTGCTCTCAGCTAGAGCTCAGTGGCAGTGCTGGAGGACGGAGAGCCCAAATCTGCTCGGAAACATCAGTGTCTCAGTTAATTCTCACGCTTTGGCTTTGCTGTTCCTCTTTGAAAGCCAAAATTTTAAGAACAAAACCAAAGAGAACTCCATACGTAGAGCAGAGCAGCTGCTGGCAGCCCCTTGCTCTGCTCCAAGGGATGCAGCAGAGGTGATGAATTCGTTAACTGCGAGAGGAGATTTCATTTCGTACTTCACTTTTACAAAAAAACATTTTTGGTTTTTGTTCTTTTCACCGTGACTCATCAATGGTGGCTGCCTGATGGCTGTGCAGGGTGGTTGGTTTTGGTGTACAGGTGTGTGAATTGTCCTGCAGCTTTGAAGCGCAGAGGCACACACAGCTCAGTTCCCTGAGGTTGATGTGAGTGGCGCAGCTCTGTAAATTCATATATCACACTGCATTAAAAGTGATGCTTAAAGGCTCACCCCGCTACCAACAGTTGGGTGGCTTTGGGAGAGAAATGGGGTGGTGAGCGTTGGACTGTTAGCGGCAGGTGAGGGCTGAGCTCGCAATACCGAGTAAAACCCCCGATCAGCTCGTGCCAATTAGACGAAGCGTACACCGAAAGGGCAATTTTGGGGAGCGAGCCGCGAGGAGCGGTAGCGAGAAGCGTTTCCCCGCTGGGTCGGGGTCAGGCGCTCCCGGCGCGGCGCCGGCAGGCTCAGCCCGCAGCGCAGCAATAGCGCTGCTCGGCCGCAGGGGGCACCGCTCTGCCCCGGCCCCGCAGCCTGCGGGCACAGCCCCGGCCCCAGGGCCCAGCAAGCCGGGCCCTTCTCGCCTCCTGCTCGCGCTGACCCCGAGCTCCCGCATTAAGAGATCAGCGCTGGCTCCCGCCCGGCTTCCGAGAACGGATTTGGTGTCAAGGGCAAGGAAAAGCGGCTGCCGCCCGCAGCGCCGCCGGCCCCGGGCTGCCGGGGAGGGCCCAGGTGAGGTTACCGCAGCACGGCCGCCCCGCGCCGCTCCCCCGGCTCCAGCGGAGGGCTGCCCGCGTAGCCGAGGCTCCCCTCGTTCCTAGAGCGAGGGATCTCCGTAATCCGTGCGCAGGACTCACGGCTTCCTTCCCGTTTCAGGGGGGTTTGTAACAGCTCGAATTAACGCGTCACCTGGGAAGGCACAGTTCCCACATCCACCGTCTTATGACAGCTCGGTAGAGCCGATGGGATTGACGGGGTGGGTACACTAAGTGGCCCTGGGTAGCAGGGCACACTGCACACAAGTTTCAGAAGGCAGGAGAGAAAGAGACACTCACTGGCTTCCAACAATGTCGACTCCTATTTCAAACTTAATTTAATTCTTATGGAGAAAAGAGTTCCTTCAGGAGCAGCCAAAGTTTAATCAGTAACACAACAGTGATTTAAGCCCAATTCTCAGTATCTTAGTCATACAGCGCTGCTGCTGCAACTGATTAGAAACCCCATTTCATTGAAATATTGCATGGAAGCATGCAAATTCCAGTGTGGAAAGGCAACAGTCACTTCATCATTTTAGATCCCGTGTTAACGCATCACCAGCTCGCACATTCAAAGCCTTCAGAGAGAAATTTAACAGTTGCAGGAATAATAACCACCCACAACCCCTAATTCGGAGCCACTATTCTGAACGCAAATCAACAGATCTGGGACATCAGAATCAGCCGTGGGGTGGGAGGGAAGTCACACTCCATGGGCACGGCTCGGGGTTAACTGCTTTTGTGTACATTCCCCAGCACTTGGGCAGTAGCATCCCCTCGGCCATCCATTGCTTCTCGGGTTCCTTCCACACTGGTTACAGGCATAAATTTGGAATATACACTCAAATAACACTTTCCAAGTTACAAGAATTATTATTCACTTCAGGTCATTTTATTCTTTATATTCTCTACACATTTGAACTTGCTCAGTAAATTGTAACAGAATGCTTAAGTATTTAAGAGAAAAAAAAAAACAAAAGCCACAAACAGCACAAATCAGAGCCAGCAAACAGTTGGTCCCCAAAGAAGAAAGCCAGCAATCAGTTCAATAAACACACTTGATTTATTTTGTATAAAAAGGGGTTAAGTTTACAACTAAACTTTTATAAAAAGTTTAGCATGATTAAGTACATCATTACACTTTTTGCAGAAACGTCAGTTTCTGCCACTATACAAGAAAACTCTAATTAAAGAGTTCACAAGGGTTCACTCATATATATATATTTATATATAAATATATACACAGCATTCAGTCCTAGGTTTGGGTCAGAAAGGCAATTTCTGACCCCAGACTCTCCTAAAAAACTGAACACCGGATCCTTCTGGTACTCACGCTCCACCTTTGGAAAAAAAGGCAAAGTCTGCTTTAAAATGGGCATCTCCGCGCGTGATTTTGTTTCGCTCCCCATGTTGGGAATAGTATATAAAGGAAGCCTTCCAACTAGGGAAAGGGTATTTAAGAGTCTCTTCATAAATAACTAGGTTCAGTCCAACTTGAAGAATGGGGTGGGGGATAAAGATCGATCTTGATTTGTTTTCTTCTTTATTCATGTTTAAAGGTCCTTTTAGTTTAGTTAGCGTGGATTTCTCCCCTCCAGATGCAGCTGAAAAATTCAGCACCTCAAGAAGAAGAAGAAAAAAAAGAAGATCCTGTAGACGTATTCTTGTGCAAAAAAAAAAAAAAAGAAAAAAAAAAGAAAAAAAAAAAAAAAAAGAAGAAAAAGAAAAGAAAAGAAAAACCTCCTCAGTGGAACACCTGCAAGAGATTGAAAAGAGGCGTATTTAGGAGCACGCTAACAGGGCAGTGATCCGGACAGACTGGCGCCAGGGAGGAAGCCGCAGTTTGAACATTTAACCAAACACTCAGAGATTGGGCAAACCCTGGCGTCCAGATGCAACACATACATGCTCACACACTCGCTCTCGGGAGCGCAGATCGAACATTAAAATAACACACACTCCAGGGAAAGGACAGGAGGAGGATTCTCAGCCCAATCTCTGGCCGGATCTCTGCAACGCAACGCTCAGAGGCGCCAGTCTGCCTCTTGGAGCAATTACTTGATTAAAAGCAGTCTCTTATTGAACCGATAGCGCAGACAATCCCACATCACAGGAGGGAAGGAACGCTGCCAGGATTCCCCGCTTGGCAGCCGGGGGGCCGGGCAGCGCCAGGGGCGCACCGTGCTGGAACCGCTCGCGGGTTGCCTCGCTTGTTTTACTATTGACAAAGCATCTCCGCACCAACTTTTAGGACTGCTTTCTGCGAGCGGCAATCAACTTCAAATACGGCTTCTCTCCCCCCCCTCTCTTTAAGTGGAAGCGCTCTCGAGTTTACAAGACAAACGAGACGGGCTGTACTCACCGTGCGATTCAGCCACAGAGCGCTTTGCTGTCACTTGCCATTAGTTCTGAGGGAAACTCGGCTGCCTGCGGGGAGAGAGCGGACAGAGCGGGCGGCGTGAGGGCGGCCAAAGGAGGGCAGGGCAGGGCTGGGGCCGCGACCGGGAGCGGTGCCTACCTGTAAGGAGAGGATGCTGATGTCTGTGTTGAGCGTGGTCAGCGGGGTCCGGGAGGCGGCGTTCTGCCCCGGCCGCTGGTGGTGGAGGCTGACGATGGACGGGTGCGAGTCCAACGCGATCTGCAGGTCCAGGATGTAGTCGATAACGTGCTGCAGGATTTCCATCTTGCTGACCTTCTTGTTCTGCGGGATGCTGGGCACCAGCTCCTTCAGCTTGGAGTAGCAGTCGTTCATGTTGTACAGGAGGCTCATGGGGTCGTCCACCGGGGTCTTGCTGCGGGAGATGCCCAGGTTGTGTTCCGAAAGACCGTTCTTCCGCACGGACCTCACGGGGCTGAAAGCTTTCATGCTGAAAGGCGGGCGCGGGGAGAGCGCACGGAGCCTGCGGAGCGCGCTGCCTGACGTTCCACTCTCGGCGCCGCCGGAGCTCGCACTGAAGTGCGGGGCCGCGCGGCCCCTTTATAACCGCCGCCGCCGCGCCCGGCCCGTGCGCGCCGCCATTGGCCGCCGCCCGCCCGTCCGTCAGCCGCGGGCCGCGCTCACTGGCGCGGAGGGGGCGCGCGGGCTTCCGCGTGCCGGGCCAATGGCGGCGGGGGGCGGGGCGGCTCCGCTCAGCTGAGGGAGTAAATAGTGCGCGGCGGGGAACGGCGCGAGAGCGGCGCGGGGCCCGGCGGCGGCGCTGCGAAGAAAGGCAGGGCCGCGCTGAGCGAGCGAGCGGCTGCCATCGGCGAGGCGTTCGACTTTAGGTCCGCTGTGGCGTTCCGCGCTTATCCCGTCCCCCGTTAGGCGGTGCCGCGGGGAGGCTCGGCTTAGCGGAGCGCTCGCGCGCAGGTGTAGCACGGAGGGTCCGCGCATCACACGTGGGAACGGTTCCGCGGTGCACCGCGGTGCCGGGCTAGGGGTCGGGGAAAAGGCGGCCGTGTGCCGTCGGAGAGCGTTCGCGAGGCAAGTAACGGCAAGCCCCGGCGGCCGCTGCCGCCCCATGACGCCGCGCACCGGAGGGACGCTGCGTGCCGGGCCGCGGCCGGGCAGCAGAGCTGCGGGGAGCAGCGCGCGCTCTGTCCGCTGCTTGTCTCTCGGCCGCGGCTCCCCGGGGGCGGCTCCCCGGGCCGCGTCCGCGCGCGCGCGTCTGGTGGCGAACTTCGCCTCCCGCCGCTCGCCGGGACTCCTTGCCGGAGGTGCCGCTCGGCCGTCCGGCCGCGGGGGGCCCCGGCGCCGGCGCGGGGGTGCTCGGCCGGCCCCCGGGGCTCCCCCTTCCCGCCCCGGGCGCCGCGCCCTGCCCCGCCCCACCGCCCCGCGCCCGGGGCCGGCCCGGACTGCGCGGCGCCAGCCCCGTGACATCAGCCCCTCGCCGCCGCCCCCCCCGCCCGCGCCGCCCGGGCCCGGCGGCGCCGCTCAGGCGGCTGCCATGGCGACCGGGGCTGCGCCCGCGGCGGCGGCAGGCGGCGGCCCGGCCCCGCTTCCCCCTCCCGGGCGCACCTGCAGCGGGGGCCGCCGGACGCCCCGCCATGCCGGGAGGGGGCTGAGGAGGAGGGGGTGGGGGGTCCCGAGGAAAAAAAAAAAAAAAAAAAAAAAAGATTAAAACGTGGAGAAGCGCTCACGGACCGCCTGACGGCCAAAGGGAGAAACGGGCTCTGCCATCACCCCCCGCTGCCGGCTCCCGCGCGCCGTGCCCGCAGCGCACGTCTCTAAAGCCTCAAGTCAGAATGTCAGTGGTGTAACTGCCTCGTGTGTGAGCCATCAAACTTGACTTCAAAAAAAAGAAAAGAAACCAATCTGTGATAATTGGCCCGTTCCCAGCGCGTTGGCACCGCCGCCCCGGCGCGGTGTGTCCGTGCATCGCGTCCCACATTCAGCCCGGGGACGGAGTTTGAGGAGTTCGGTGGGCTTTTATTTTGTGTTGCTTTTTTTTTTTTTTTCTTTCCCTTCGGAGCGGGAAAAAAATATTTAGTTACAACTTCTGCGAAACGCACCGGTCTGTAACAGAGTTTTCTACTTTCACAAAGGATTTTCCTGTTACTTTTGTTCCGGTCACAAATTTAAAGACAAAAAAAAAAAAAAAAAAAAAAAAAAAAGGCGAAAGAGAACAAAAAAAAAAAAAAAAAAAAAAAAGAAGAAAAAAAACTTGGGGGAGAGATAAGGTCTGGAAAACAATCTGGAATTGCCAGGCTGTTGGTGGGAGCTCTGCGGGGCTGGCGTCAGGAAGTCTGCGCCGCCTCTCTGACTGTTGATCCAGCTTTGTGCAGCTGCACTCAGCACAATTAGCTTGTAGAAACAATCCTGCTGTAGGCAGCCTCTTCCCTTCAAAGTGCTTTTCTATACTGATCCCCTCACATCACGACGCTGGAAATCAAGTCACAAGCCGACCACTGTTTGGCCAACATCATCTGTGGGAATTCATTAACCTCCATCCCAGAGATGCAACAAGAGATTGTTTGTCCAGAACTAAACTTACAGCTTAATATGATGTAGCCCATACAGGAAAAAACCTGTGTCCCCCTTTTTTTTTTTTTTTTTTTTTTTTCTTTTTTTTTGTGCATAACAAGAAACACATTGTGCAGCTCTTTTCTCTCTCTCTCTTTTTTTTTTTTTTTTTTTTTTTTCAGGGGGTGGAGAGTGGAGCAGGAACCAGGCGTGAGCCGGCTCCTGCTAAAACTTTGCCATCGCGCTGCTTTTTGGTTCGTCGGGCTGCAGTTTCCATAGAAGCAACTTATCCCCGCGATCATCTTGTTGGGTGCACTTTGCAAGCTCATTTCCCGTCTGAGTTTGCTCCGCTGCTCTCAGATGCTGCAGCTGACACATTTCCTCCCCGTGCACTTTGCACCCACCTCATCCTTGCCCAGATGCTCGGGGCTGATTGTGCCTAAAAGGGGGTTTCATTGCGCTCTGCAGCTGCCTCGGGGGAAGGGAGTATTATTTTTTTGAATTCTGCTTTTCCCCTTCTCCAGCACCACGCAGGCAGCAGGCCTTCCTCACTGCCCTGTCCCAGCCTTGGCGCAAGGAAGCAGCCCCTGCCACGTGCCCATCTTGTGCGAGTGCTGCCAGTGACTGTGGGGCCCCGTCCGTGTGGCAGCCCTGGGGAGCAGCAGTGGAGACCTCTCCTTGCTCCCGACGTTACTTCTGGATGCTCTGCCGGAGTGCAGAGCCCCTGGGATCTCGTTGGCAGCATCCTGCTCCCCATCACCACTGCCTGGAACCTCAATTGGCCAGATGGTGCTCATTGCTTCCATTCTGAACTTCCTGCCGTGTCCCAAGGATGGCTGTCCCTTTCATCCTTGCTTCTGAAATGCTCCTTTGTCCATGGGTGTGTTCCCCTGCCCCCCGAGCCTCCTCTTGTAGATCCTGCATCCCTAATTCTCACTAGTACCACTGCTTCCCCAAATCCTGCTTTGCTACAGCAGGGCTCGGCAACCCCCAGAACACGGTCACACCTTTGCTGGGTCCCTTTTCCAAACTCCATTCTCTTCTGTGCCTTCTTTGCAGATGCCATGGATCTGCTCCAGCAAGACCTCTTTTCCCTCCCCCCACTATACTTCTGGATAACATTGCTTTTGTATGGCAATGTTTGCCTTCATCTGTACTTCTGCACATTCCTCATCTGTTGCTGTTGTATTCCCAAGCTTGGAGGCTTGCAAGGTATTGTTCTGAAACATGCGTGTTTGGCCATTTCTTCCTTGACATCTATATTTTGGGCCACTAACACTGGGCTATAGGATGGATGGGTCTCTGCTCTGACTGAGCTTTGACGTGCTTATTGCTTTATGGTCACACTCCCAGCTCTGCAGGAATGCCTTTTTACTCAAACCGTATTTTCTAGCACCACCCTGTGAAAAGGAACAGTGTTGTTTTGCAGTCATGAAGTCCAAGTTCAGACACTTCAGTTCTGATGTTTCTTCTGTCATGTAGGGTTTCTCATCTCTGTAGCAGGACCAGTGCCCCCAAGGCATTTCTGTGTAAACTCCACCTGCAAAGGGCTATTGCTGAGCTGATGCTACTGGAAGAATGTTGCCATGAAATCCATTTGAAAGCAACAGCTCTCTGGCACAGTAAGTGTTACTGGTGGAAGGTGTGTTAAATCTGACTATTAACTCTTGCCTATTTACCCCAAAGCAACTTTTTTTTTTTTTAATCTCTAACTACGGGATAATCCCCACTAACTTCATGTCTGTGTTGTAGTTAAGTGTCTCTAGGAATGCTTGTAGCAAACCAGTTGGGTTGCTCTGTAAGTTCTGTGATTGTGCTAAAAGTGAGGATCAAACAATTCCCTTCTTATGTAGGAGATGGTCTTCACTTACGCTGGCATGCCTAATGATACTTTTAAATTAATATTTAAATTAGTAAATGTTGCAAATTTTACACCCCTCCACAGTTCTCTGCAAGATTCTCTTGGGATGGAAAGGAGAGGGTCCTGAGGTTACTGACAGCACCTCACCTGCACTGAGGAACAAACCAAGCTTTAAAGATGGCCTTGTGCTTTTGTTAGCTGCCTGGCTGCTCCAGCTCCCTCAGCCTCTCGGTTTGGCCTGACTTTGGTTTTCAGGTGCACACCTGTGTGAATAAGGTCACAAAATGCTTGGCTCCGTTTCACTGGATAAAGGAAGGATTGGAAACTGCGTTGGTCAGTGAAGACTTTAATACCTGTTCCAGGTCGGGTACCCACCCCCACTGCCTTACAACTTAAATCTTAGGATAATTATGAGGATAGATGCTTCTGTATAGAACACTGTGCATTTGTTGTTACTCAGTAGTAATAATGTTTCATGAACACAGGGGAGGAATGAAGGCTGCGCTGCAACTGTTGGTGAATCTATTATCCTGCCTTCCTTTACAGCACTGCACCTACAGGATGAAAAGCTCTGTAATATGGAGTAAGCAGTACTGATTCAGTGGTTTACTGAAGCTACTGTTGTTGGTTCTGTTAGGACAACATCCACAGTGCTTTTTAGCTAATGCATACAGCGAAATATTTTACAGTCTGGGAAGGCTCATTCCGCTCAGGTTTGGATACTGGAAATGCAACTCAACCAAATGTGTGCAGCGAGTCCCAAATGCACCCTCTGAAGTCCCACTGAACCACATGAGTTCTGAAGTTTCTTAGGCTGTAAAAACTTTGCTTCTCTGTGGACCCAGAATCAGTGTTATCTAGGTTAAGCTGACTTTCTTAGCCACTGTCTGCTGCATTAACCCATCTGGGAATCACAAAATAGGTACGTGTCTAAGTCTCTTGAGAATCCTGGTCCAGGAGGTGTGCTCAGATCATGCTTAAATGCACATTGACAGCGTGGAGCTTAGCACAAAGCACAGCAGCTGTAGCTGCTGGAAAGTTTAAGGGGGAGAGAAGGAAAAGAACTGCTTCGCTTTTGTAAATTGTTTTTCTCGTGAGAGCACTTGCCCTGGAAGTGAGAGAGTGAATACTCTCCTCATTAGAGAGGTGTTACGAACTCCCTCCTGCTTGCAAAGCACCCCCAACGACCGAAGATAAGGCTGAGGTGGAGGATACCCACCCATCCTGTTGAAGCTTGCCGCTGTAAAGAAAAGGATGCAAATTTCAAAGGGCCAGAGGGATTACAAACAAGAGGGAGCCTGTCACTGTAGCTCTGGGGCAAAGGCATCTCCTGGATAGCAAGAAGCTTGAATGCCAGGCCTGGCCTGGCAGACTCACCCGTTCTTGAGGGTGAGGTTCATCTCACCTTATCTTATTTACTTAGAAGTTTGCTGTTCTTGTCTCTCCTCAGTCAGTGAGAAGAGAGAACAAGAGACACCTGCACAGAATGATTCATTCTGTGCCTGTTCAACACTGCTCTGGATGGAACAAATCTCCTTGCTGGGTGTTGTCTCTCTCCATCAATTCTCAACAGAAGTTAGACAACCAGTTCTGAGCAGAAGCCCAATTTACGGGTGCCACGTGAGATGAATTCTACCGTAGATGACTAATTTTTCTCATTCATCATACCTGCTTTTGGCCTGTAGAAGTTGGGCTTGTAACAAAGTTAGTCATTTTAGTTCTGTCTTTGTACAATGGCGATTCCCTCCCCTCGCAATCTGGAGACTGATAGCTGAGGTGAATTGACCTTGGATGATGTTTATCTTTGTCTGAGCCCTGTAAACTCCTCATGAGCACGCGTGCTCCTCCTTTGCACTTGCTGGGCTGTCTGAAAATGGAATGTGGAACTATTAAATGACATTGTGCAAACTTATTTTGTGGATGGTCTGAGTGGCTGGAGAGACTGTACCATTTTAATTTGAGAGCTGCCAGTTTCATAAAAATATGCATTAAAATATAGGAAGATAGAGTCTTCAACTAGGACTTTCAAAAAACTGAAAGGCTGCTTATTTAAATCAATGGAGATCGGGTACTCTGGAAAGTACCACTAAGCTTATGTTGCATTTTAGGCACTTTCATCCAGAAAAATCTGTCTCTGACTTCTAAAACTGAAGATTGGGTGCCCTTAAAAATGCTACCTTTAATCCTATCCCTGAAGAGGCAAGTATGTAATTTTCAGTTTCAAAAAACTATAGTTTTTCATTTTTCATGACGTGGATTGGTGCTGAGGTGTGTAACAGGATAACTCCCCAGCATGTACCTCATTGTTTCATCAGAGATCAGCAAAAGGTCGCCCAACTTTTTTATCAGATTTCAACTGCGTGCTTTTTTGTGCTGCTCTTCAGTTTGGTGCACGTACAGCCTGTGCAAAAGGATGAATGCAGAAAAAGGCAAGCTGTGTGTTTTTATGATTTAATATTTGTCAGAGGCCATCTAAAGGTTATGTCCAGCCATTTTCAAAGTTTAGATTGCAGAGGCAATAGTGTCCAGCTTGGCAAAATGAAAGTCGTATGTTCTGACGGGTGTTTAGCTGCAAACATAGCTGGAGAGGATTCCACCACATTGTTCATGTCAGTCACTGTGTAGTCCTGAGTGCCTTCAAGTACTGCGAGACACAAGCTTGAGCAACTTTTTTCTTTTCTTATCAAAATACTGAAATTATGTGTGTATGCAAGATGTTTAAATTTGGCAACAGAAAAATAATTGGGAATCGGCTCAAAATTAAATTACTTAAGGCCTCAAGCTATTGTTTCTAGCAGAGACAAGAGGTCTGACAACATTAGAAGGATATGCAAACTTTTGAGAGTATTTTGGGCCAGAACAGAACAGCTGATTTATGCCTCGCTGAGGATCTCAGTTATTCTTGTTTGGATCTGTATCAGAATTTGGATTTTTTTTTTTAATTTCTTAATTTCCTGCTGTATCACTGTGCTTTCTTTTCAGCCCAGTAGCATAACTTCTGAGCTTTTGTGCTCTTTGTTCTCTTTCACAGCCCTACAGGTCTATTGATTCTGGAGGTGAGATTGATCTCACTTGATGTAAAGCATACATCTGGTAGATACCTATAACTAATCCTTTCTCTCAAGACTCTGTTTACTGACCACCGATAAAATCATTGCTTTTGCAGTGACTGTCACTCTAATCACAGAATCATAGAATCACAGAATCACCGCCATTGAAAAAGACCTCCAAGATCATCCAGTCCCACCATCCACCTACCACTAATATTTCCCACTAAACCACGTTCCCCAGCACATCTAAACGTTTCTTGAACACCTCCAGGGATGGTGACTCAACCACCTCCCTGGTTGAGAGCCCCATCCAGTGCCTGACCAATCCTTTGGAGAAGAAATTTTTCCTAATGTCCAACCTGAATCTCCCAACTTGATGCCATCCCCTCTCATCCTACTGCTCGTTGTGCAGGAGTAGAGGCCAACCCTCACATTGCCACAGCCTCCTTTCAGACAGTTGTAGAGCGCTTTAAGGTCTCCCCCGAGTCTCCTTTCCTCCAGACTACACAGCCCCCTTACCCAACCCACTCCTCATTAGCCTCTCCAGACCCCTCACAGTTCTTGTTGCCCTTCTTTGGACACGCTCCAGGGCTTTGATGTCTTTGTTGCAGCCAGGGACCCAAAACTGTACACAGTACTTGAGGTGTGGCCTCAGCAGAGCTGAGTATGGGAAGAAGATCACTTCCCTGCTCCTTCTGGCAGCACTGTTTCTTATACAAGCCAGGATGGCATTGGCTGCCTGGGCACACTGCTGGCTCATGTTCAGCCGAGTGTCGACATCACTCCCAGGTCCGTTTCTTCTGCTCAGTCTTGTAGTACCTTTGTCCCAAGCCTGCAGCGCTACCTGGGGTTGTTGCGACCAAAGCGCAGGACCCAGCACTTGGTCTTGTTGAACTTCATCCCACTGACCTCAGCCCAGTGGTCCAGCCTGGGCTGGATCCCTCTGTAGGGCCTTCCTCCCCTCGGGCAGATCAGCACTTCCTCCCAGCTTGGTGTCACCTGCAGACTTACTGAGGGTGCACTCAATCCACTCATCCAAGACATCAAGGAAGATACCAAACAGGACAGGCCCCAGCACCGACCCCTGGGGAGCATTACTCATGATCTGTGGCCCAGCCTTCCAGCCTGTTCTTTACCCAGCGAAGCGTGTACCTCACCTCACTGTAGCCTCACTGGCCGTGGGCTGCCGGCTTCTCCAGGAGAATACTGTGGGAGACAGTATCAAAAACTATGCTGAAGCCTAGGTAAGATCATGTTGACATAATATAGCCAATCACAAAATCACCAACTTTGGAAAAGACCTCCAAGATCATCTGTTCCAACTATCCGCCAGTATTTCCTGACTGAACCGTACAGATGGGCTGTGCCAGGGTTGGTTCTCAGACTTTCTAGACAACTGAAAATTCTGTTTTTCTTTATGTTTGGCTGTGGGAGTTGACCCATTTTAGTTAAAATACTTGAAACACAGAGAAAATGAACAGTGATTAATGCACTTTCACCAAGAGCATGTTCTTGTTATGGTCTTGTGGAGTACTGGAGATTTACAGAACACAGTGTGTAACCTCTAGGCTAGATGCTCATAGTTGTGAGCTTTTTGCATTTCTGAGGCATATTTCAGCCTGTTGCTGGATGTGGTAATCTTTTATTATGGAACTGCTTGTTCATTTGCTGAACAGATGTGACCTATGTAGTTGAGAGAGACTGAAGTGAAAGCCTTGCCTCGGTTACTGTAAGAAGCATATGCAAAGAATAGTAAAAGAGGCAAGGTACGCCCATAAAACTGCTGAATTCTGCTGTGGAGGAATTAATTCAATCCATGCGTCTGCCACAATGGTGTTTTTGTGAGATGACAGTGATGGACAAGTCACTTCAAGAAGAATTTGGTCAGGAGACTGCTTAGCACATGGGAAGTCGGTGGGAGTTGTTCTTAAAGATCTAAAGTGTAATGAAAATGCCAAGCACTATGAAGTAACAGGTCCAAGCTATCACAAGCTTGGCAGCCAGAACTGGAGTTATTAACCAGTATGTTTTCTCGTCAGCTGCTTCACAAATAACCATTGTCTTAAAGTTAACAGATTATCATTTTTTCCTTGAAAAGTGAATGCCCCTTTTGAGGGGACAGAGTATATTCTAGTAAATGATTCATGGATTGACCGATGCTTATTGTAATAAGTGACGTCCCAATTTCCAGTAAGCTTTTCAGAGACTGCAGATTGATTTTAGCTCCTGGTTTGCAAGTAGGAGCTCACAGGTGGTGCAGAGCTGGTGAGGTGACCATCAAGAATCAATTGAAGCCAGCAGAGAGTGAGAGAAGAAAGATAACACTTGTTTGGATGGGGCTGGAGGACCAGGGAAGATACCAGTCACGGCTGAGTGAGGACTTGGAGCCTGAATGAGGAGGTCTAAAGATTAAAGGGGAACAGGAGGGGTAGAAAATTCAAGATTCATATCCCTAACCATTTCTTTCGTCTTCTTCTTCTTCTTCTTCTTCTTCTTCTTTTTTTTTTTAATTTTCATTTGAAATTTAAGAACTAAAATAAGGAACGGTACTCAGAAAGTGAATGCTTCTGAAGACATTTCTTGCATGTCTGTGCCCACTTATAGGTAGAACAACGTATGCTGCTTTTCACCCGAGCTAGATAAATCTCATGACTTCTGGGACACAAACTCAAGATTGATGCCACGAGGTTTGTATTAACCATCACATAAGTGGAAGTCTCTGGAAGAGACTCCAGAGCTGGTAGTTTGGGGCATGTATCTGAAATGTTGGGAATTACCAGTTGTGGTGTGAACCAGGGAAAAACAGGATATGAAGTGTTGGTCATCAGCGGACCTTTTAAACATCAGGTCACTTCTCTGAGAATTTTCTCAAAAAATGTTCAGAATATTCTTGGGTTTCTGAGACAGGGGAGGTTCAGGTTAGATATTAGGAGGAAGTTTTTCAAACTGAGAGCGGTGGCACACTGGAAAATGTTGCCCAAGGAGGTTGTGGATGCCCCATCCCTGAAGTAATTCGAGGCCAGACTGGATGTGGCTCTGGGCAGCCTGGTCTGGTGGTTGCTGACCCTGCACATAGCAGGGGGTTTGAAACTGGATGATCATTGGGGTCCTTTTCAATCCAGGACATTCTATGATTCTGTGATTCTATGATTCTTCTGAACCATGTCAGTAAGACCTCTGAAGTACTAACAAGTGCCACAAGGTGAGAAAATCATTCTTCCTATCTGGATCCGTTCAGTGCAATTTGGGGTACAGGATCTTTCCATTATAACTGGCATCACTTTGAAGTCATATCTGCTATAAAACTTCTGAATAGTTGCTGGATTTGACTGTGTTTGCAGAAATTGTTTAGTACATTGTAGCTATGTTCTGCTTCAATTTTTTTTTTTTTTTTTTTGTCTATTTTTATGTGAGCTGCTGCTCTGTTTCTGATAGCGTTTGTATAGATTCTATCAAGGGAAACAAATGTCATGGGAAAGATTTAGGTAATTTTTTTGCTGTCTATTTTTTTTTTTTTTTTCCCTGTAAGGCAGATGTTCCTATTTTAAACCTGGTAAAGGCGTTTCCATTTGAGATGATGATTCTCTGCTTTGTACACAGAACAGAGAGAACAGAAACACACCTTTCAAATTGGCTGAGGGAGCAATGTGCAGTATACCAATTGCTCTCTTTTCCACTATTGTGGAGAGTCAAGCACGTGTGTATAAGCTGCAAATGTACATTCTTCTATAGGATGAGCAGGCTGCCCATGTGGTTGCACAGGGGTGGCTGTGGGAATGACATGAAACAGGCTGTAGATACTCCTTTGGTGGAGACTCAGTGATCTTGATGTTTTACACACATGGGACCTGATGCAGAGACAGTAAAACCCAGGAGGACTTTCCCCATCAGCCTCATAGATTTGAATTCAGCTTCAGGTGCGTTTGTGGATGTATATGAAGTATACAGCTGGGATTTGGCTGGGAGAACAGTTGTCTGTGAGAGTAGAAAGGGAATTTTTTTCACTGCTCTGGGGTGGTAAGTGAACTTTATCTAGCACCTTCCACTTGCATGTAGCCAGCCTGCTCACGTTCATGGAATCATAGCATGTTCTATACTGATTCTGCCCTCGGACTGTAAAGAACAAGATAATAACTTTATTTTATGTACTAGAGAGCTAAATTATTTTAAAAGTCCTAGTTTAGCAGGCAAAGATGAATTTATTTGCCAAAGAGGTTCAGAAGCAGCTTGGGAAACTGTCAGAACCCAGCTTTAACTGCTTAACTGGTGGCGGTTGTACATAATAGCTCTCAGGCATGCTTGTAGTACAAGGGAGACTGGCACAAAATATAGGATGTATGGGATTTTTCTCCAAACAACAGCAAATGCACTCAACACACAAATCGTATAGTTGAATAAGAAGAAAACCTGCATCTGCTGCACTTGCATGTTGCATCCCTTATTGGCTCTGCTCCCGTACTTGGGATGAGAAAGAACCTTGCTCGTTTCACTCTTTGTCTGTTTTGTCCAGCTCTATTAACTTAGTGCACTGCTGAACATTACCTTTGCTCTGCTTGCACTGCTGGACTTTGCTGTCCTTTTCCCACCTAGATATCTTCATGCTTTCCTGTATCCTAACCCTCACATATGGAACAAAATCTGGAAAATTCTCTCCATCTGCTCTTCTTCAAATCACTCTGTGAGATGCACTTCGACCCTGATGCCTGTGGGGCACTGCTGATAATGGCCAGAGTGCAAGTTAAATTGTTTTCTAGCCAGCCAATGTGAAAACATGGTGATGTTATTTCTGCTGTGGTTTTCATATCAACCCCTTTCCTGCCAGGGAGGACAAATCCGTAATGCCTTTTTAGTAATGGCCAACTCTCTTTGGAAGCTGACACAGATAAGAACAGCTCTCAGCCCACTAGTTGTTACCTTCTTTCTCCTTGAGTCACAACTCCTCCGGTTTGCTTTTAGTCACCATATTCTTTTTGTTCTCCTTGACTTCTGTACATCTGTGAATGTGGCTCTGGCCTCACCAAGGGATCTGTCAGCACCCACCCTTTCAGAATATGTTAACAGGTCTTGGCTCCAACCAGCAAAGGTCATTTTTTGGGGACTGGCTTTCTTGCATATACAGCCACTGATCTTAACCCTTTACGGAGTGACAAAAAGACTTCCTTCCCATTTGCTCTTACTCACCTAACTGTGTTTGGAAGGGGCGGGCATCTTAGCTAATCAGAGCTTCAGACAGGCAATTCCTCAAATTGTTTTAGGGTTTTTAATTAAAACTGTAGGCTTCAGCATCACGTGGCAGAGAGCCAGAAGCAGTCATCTGACAATAGCATTCACCATCTACCAACAATAAGGGAATTCCTAAGTGCACGCTCGGGAGGATTCTGAAATGCTGTGAACGACTGAGATCGGTGTTTGCAAAGCACCCTGCAACATTTGGCCTTGCATGTCTGCCGATTTTTACAATATATAAACAAAACCCTATAATCTCCACATAGCACAAGGATACTGACTTCTGTTTATACTGTCCAGAGCACAGATGCTGAGCATGAATGCATGAGCAGTCCTTTTGTATGGTGTTTGACACTTTCTGTGGCTGTCTGCGCTGTTTTTTAATATACAGAATCCCCGGTTCTCCGCTGCCTTGCACCCTGTCTATTCATTCTCACCCCTGTGAAGTGAGGGTAAAACACTATCAAAACAAAATGGTACCACTTTGCATGTTTTCCACTCAGTTTGTACAGGTGTAAATGAGTACAGAGAGAACAGGGCAGAGCAGAACCTGACCTGCAGTCTGTCTCTCCATGCGTCAGGGGTCTTGGAGTGGGGTATGACAGAACAAACACAAGCTGTTACCTTGCCAGTTTTGCTTTTTTGTTTGCTTTTTGTTGTTGTCGTTGTTTTAAAGTCAAGCAGCTTGCAGGGATGACAGATGCAAAAGTCAGTCAGTACTTAGTTCCTGTAGTCCTCACGTGATGTCTTCTCATAGAGTAATGAAAGTGTTACCCGTGGCAGAGGTAGATGTGCGTGATTACTGGTATGGGAGCATGGTTGTCAATGTGAGGAAGCTCTGAGTAGTTTGGCTGTTGCAGAGAGAGAAAAATCCTTACATTACCTTAGCTTTTATAAATTATTATAAAGGAGGCTGAACTCTCCAAGCTGGTTCCTGAAAAACAGTGGCACTCAGTTTGTAAATTTAATTCTTATTCTTTTTGTCCTTAAAGCAGCAGAAGGCTATACCCTAATATCCTAAATCATTTTAAATTGTCTTCTGATACTGCTTAACGCATCTGTGCAGGCACGCACTTGAGCTTTCTTCCAAAAGAAATGGTGGCTCCTTTCTGTGCTCTCTACACAAAGCCTAGCTCTCTGGCACTTGCCCTACTTTCCTGAGCATCCAAGACCATTCAAGCCCTAGTCTTTGTTTTTACCCAGACACAGGATTTATTTATGACACATAGATATCATTATCACTCCTTTGCTGGATGTTTTTCGTAAATACAGATCCTGCCTATTCCTCGGCCCCAGTCTTCCCTAAACCATCTCTTTGTTTGATTTTTTCACTTCCAGAAATCCTGTCCAGCTACAGCTCTCCAAATCCTTCAGCTCACACCATTACCTGCTGTAAATGCTGGTTTGGGGCTGACTGCCTGCTTGTAAGGGAGCAGCATACTGCCTTAATGGTTCCGGCAGGTAGGAAGGAGGTGAATCTTTGAGAAGGGCCTTGACTCTGCAGTGCCTTGTGTAATCAGTGGGTTAGCACTGTGCCCTACTTCTGATAAAACATGAAGGTGTTGTACAGTGCTGTTTTCAAATGCTGTCTCTGGAAGGCAGGATAAGAAAGTCAGCAGACATGGTGGCTGCAGAATAGAAAGTGATATACATATAATGAGCTTTGCTATTAATGCAACAAAAAATTATGTTGAATTGCACCATGAATATCCTTCCAAGAAAAGAATATATCAAAGCTTTATATAGATTAATGCTGGCAAGATCTGAATTGAACAAATATTACATAGTTCAGAGGCTGTTGTACTATGTGGGAAGAATGGTCCAGAACGGTGAGTATTTTTTCTTATCTTCAATTGCAATCTCAACCTTACCACTGCATTAACATAGGCACCCATTTTTAGAAATGATGTGTATTTTCGTGACTCATTTGAGTGCTCTGTAATTATTTGTATGCAAATGTGATGTATTAAATATTCTCACAGTCTCACACTTTCCCCTCCCATTGGAGTGCATACACAGTTAGGAGTGGTGGTGTTCCTTCACCTTTCCTAAACTATCTTGTGCCTGGTTTCTGGTAATATCTGAAGAAATACTTATGTGTGTAATTTCAGAGCTGCTTTAAAGTGGTAGGACAAAAAAGCCCAACCCTTTATATCAAAAAGCATTTTGACAATAATGCTACATTTTCATATCTAAATTTGAGAGGTCTCAAAAAGGCTAAAAATTTTCTTCAGCTTTGAGGGAAAAAATAAATGCTGGCCTGAGAACAAGCATGTGAAAACAGGTAATGTATCCATCAATGCACGTGTAGGCTTAAAATGAAATTGCCATCTCAACCATGGCTAAAAAAAACCCACAGATGATGAGTAAATATATATTGGCTAGAATAAACACAAAATGCAATGCCAGATGTGGACAGTGCAGAATGCAGAAAGGCAGTAAGGTAAGTAAACATCAATTTACTTACCTTAGGCAGGATTAGCCTTAGTTATGAAGTAGCAATTCTAGTGAGAAACAGAACTGGAAATCTCTTTTACTGAAACCCAGTTGAGGTATCATTGTAGCTAGAAGGAAATCTGCCCGGTCTGTCACTACTGCACAGTTTGAGGTTTTTCAGCAGCAACTTGCTGCCCAAAACATGCAGTTCCAAGTCTGCCTTTGCTTCAGAATATTTCTGGCAGAGTTGTAGGCTTTACAGCCCAACAAATTTTGTTTGCAGCTTTTGTCTTGTTTTTCAGAATGCACCTTTTTACTCCCATTAAGCACCCATAAGATCTTCTGCAGGAATACCTCCTGCAATGCTATCACAACATATCTCTGTCAGTCAATATTGTGGTGTCTCTCAAAGTTCAAATGACTCCAGTGGATTTTTCCAGAATTATTTGTTCAGCAGCAATGCTTTTGGAGTTCCTGTGGAACTTCATGCAGATGTGATGACCCTGTATGTTTTTGTGCTTCTCAAAGTATTTAGGCTTTCCAGGTTTCTCTTAAGAAGTTTTTTCTAGGCCATTTCTTTCTAAAACAATGAAAATATAAAGCAACTGTAAAGGTTAATTGTACATTGGAACTCACAAAAGCTATATGGTGGCTCTTCTGCTGTCTCTCAGAGGTCTACTGTGTCCCACAAAATTTATTTTAAAAGGTGCCCCCTAGAATCATATGTTTGCTTGCAGCTTTACTATAAGTAAGGGTAGAATTCACCTTACAGATTAAGACAACAGTGTACAGAGGTTTATAAGTTTTAGATTTAGTTGCCAACATACAGAAGTCCAGCACTATCTGAGGTGTTCCAGTCTTGCATCTGGCCTTCAGCTGCTGCTCCCTGTTGGTCAAGAAGTCCATAGATGGTGTGCCATTCTTACCAGCCTGCATTAGGTGTTTTGGATACCTAATTACCTCCCAAATGACAGTGATTGTAGTCATCAGACATATAATCGGTCCTCTCAGAGAGTCTCAGGGAATGTCCAACCAATGCCTTAACGTGCATGGCTGCCTCTGGCTTATTTGGATGGCTTTGTAGCCTTTCACCACTAATTCACAAATTGACACCTACAGATACACGCTAGTATTATTTCTCGTATTCAAGGGGATAAATTGTACTCTAGATGTCATGTGTTTGTTATTTCTGGAATGGCTTGTGCTACCAATGCAGGAAAAAAATGCTGAATTGAACTGGAGATCCATTATATTGGTCTGCAGACAGAAGATAGCACACCCAAGCGCACATTCACTCCCGTGCTGTGTGATACCCCAGTGGTTTTCAGACATTCTGCTGATTTGGAACATTTTCTCTGTTTTCTTCTTCAGAGCTTGCCATCTCTTCTAAGGAGCCCAGGCACAAGTCTCTGTTGTGGTTGCAGTTAAGGTGGCTAAGTAGCTAAATGGCAATGAACTCAAGTATCCTTTTGTTGACACACCTCTGACTGTGAGCCGATCAGTTGTAGGGCAGCTGAGATTTCTATGCTGATATAGAGTTAAGCAAGCTGTAAAAGATGTATGTAAACAAACTGGAAAGAAGAGAAAGCAGAAGCTAGGTACCCTATCTGGCTACAAGCCCTCCTGAACATTGAAGGATAAGGTCTTATAAAGGAAGCACTCCCTCTTCTATTAATGACAGCATCATTAGCAGTGCAGATATATACATCTCTTAAATTAATAGTGCAACAGATTGTTCCTGCTGCACTTAAGAAGCAGTTCAATGTAACAACCACAAGCTAAAATATTACCAAGCTTGTGAACTTCAAAGCAAACTTTCCTTCTTTTTAAAGAGTTTTAAAAAACAGCTGAGCATATTTTCTCCTACCTCATCTTTAAAGAAATTACAAAAGAATGTATACAGGAGGCCTGAAGTTCCTGCCAGTCCTTCATCTTGGTTTTGTTGGCATATTGGCAGGGAATCTGGACACTGAAATTTACTCTTAATGAGGACCTTGTTTTACGGATGTGTTCTTGTTCTGTGTGGTAATGCTTATCTGAACTGCTTGTTCTCTTATGGAGGGCCAAAAAAGATACCTTGAAGATAAACACTGAAGTAACGAGTCAAAATGCTTACTTATTTATTAAGTTTGGGAGGTATGGCTTGTCATTAAGTTGAATTTATTGATTTATTGGTTGATTTTAAGTGTACAGTATATCTGCAATCTTCTGCAATCTTTTCAAGGACTGGTCAACTAAGAGAAAAAAAGTGTGCTTTCTTTGGCTTATGATGGATTGAACATAGAGGCAGCAAATATTAGGTAGGAGTTGATCAGTGCAAATGAAAGCTGCAGGTAGTAGTTTGAATGGAAACAATGATGTAGCTGAAGTGTACCTGAACAGGAACTTAAGGTGGAAAGCAAGAATGTGAAGAAGTGGCAAGGACAGCAACTGTGCAGTGGAGCAAATGAAGAGAACCTGAAAACACTTACCTATAAATGAAAAAAAAAAGCACCCCAGTAAGTAGCAACCAGCAATAGGCAAGAAGGATTAAAGCAAGTGAAAGAAAGCCCAGAAATGCAGAAATGCATTATTCTTACTGCTGATTGCTAAGAATCATTAAGTGACTGTCACTGAATGCTGGACTAAAAGCAAGGGAGATGAAAAGTCAGAGGCTCTTTGATGGGAGAGAGAAATGATGTGTCTGCCCCTTGAAAGTCACAGGCAGGGTTTCTATTGGTTTTATCAGAGCAGAATTGGACTTTCTTTGAGCTAAGCTGATGAAAAATAAATGCTTTTATTTTGCAGTCCTACATTTATACGCAATTCATATGTTGTCTTACATTCCATAGGTGGAGTTTTTATACTCAGGAAAATTTTCAGGACTGAGAACCCTGCAGTATCTTTCCTTGCTTTTTCACTGGTAGCAGAGAATGTCAGCTCCTCAGTACTTCTGTGCCTCAAACCTCCAGACACTGGTAGCTAGGAAATGTTGCAGCCTCTGTGTCTGGTAGCTTGTGTCCTGTTCTGAGGGACTAATAGAGCTGTCATTCGTGTTGGAGATTTTTCTCCCAGCTCATTAGTAAAACTGGAATTAACTGAGTAACTTGCTGACCAAATAGCTGAGTAGATGTGGGAGGCAGGCTGACAGCAGACTCAGTTTCAGCCAATCTGTGATTCCCTGAGCAAGGTGTCCGATTCCTTTATAAATTTCTGTGGGTCTGATTCCAAACAGAATTATCTTTCCGTTTGTTTTCATTCAATACAAATCTGGTAAGTGTGGTTGACTGAAGAGCAAGGCGGCTCTCACTTTTTGAGGAGAGGAGAAAGGGAATATTTTCCCGTGTCATGTAGCGTCACTGAATCAAACAGCCCTAAGTAATGCTCTAATTGCAGTGAAAGCACTATTAGGTACGGGAATGCCAGGAGAGCTGTAGTCCTGCTTTCTGCCGGCAAGTATGAGTCCGGTTGGCTGAAGAGCCAATGTCACCTTTAGTTCCTCCTCACTCTGCATTAGAGCAGCTGCATGCAAGAACTGCTGAGCTGCTCTGACCGAGGAATGAACACCATGCAGATGCGGTGCCAGCGTCCCATTCCAAACAAACAAGTCTTTTCCCTTCATCAGCATTGCCATGTGCAAACAACATCTTTGAGGGTTTATAGCTTTGTGGCAGACGGGGATGCTCCACTGCAATCTCAAGATAATAGGTGTAGTAACTTTGTAAATACTTTGTATGAGCTGTTCGCTGAGGACAATGTTTGTATACTGAGTTAAAAGAGTTTCTAGCATGATTGCATTGTTCCTAATAGTAGCCTATAGGAACAAGCAAGGGGGGAGATGCGTAACACCTGGATAATAGATAAACAATCTCTTTGCAAATATTGGAGAAGCAATTGAAACACAATGCCATATATCTATCCCCCAGGCTGTATTTAAATAGCCTGAGCTGAGAATAAAGAGGTCTAAAGTGCCTTGAATAGATAAAAAGCTCTTTCGAAGAAAGGATGCAATCAGTTGCCAGTAGGTGTTCCAAACACAAGAGAACACCCAGTTTCCTTTGCATCTGTTTCTTTTGCGTCTGTCCTCTCTCAGCAAGAGCGTCTTCTCCACAACCACTGGCAACTTCTCTGCCCTCCCACTCCCGTGCTGCTCACCCAGTCAGCAGCCCAGCTCTGTCAGCAGCTGGGTGTTTGAACCTCTTGGAAATCCTCTGCCTGCACAAGAACAGCCATAATGTGCTGCAGAGGTGGCGTGTGTGATTTCTTGGGAACAGTGGTTGCATTTCCTTTTTATAACTGTGGTGCCAATGGGCACGTGGAAAACCTTGGTAGAAACCATCCCTTTGGTGTGTGAGGCTGCCACAGCAGGGCTTACTGACAGGGACTTGAAACTTGTCTCCACTTTACTCTCAGTTCCACATTTTTGCTGCAACAGTTGTGTGGAGGCCCAGAATCGCTTCACAGGATGAGGTCTCTTGCAGTGTTTTGTCTGAATTCAGAGGGACCAGAGAGGCCCCTAGGTAGGATGGTATTTGTCTTTGCTCAATATGTCTTGCTCGAACAGTTAGCATTGTGTTAAGTGGTAGAAACTTTAGTTAGCTTGAAAGCCAAAGCATAGACAAATGGAGTGGGCTGATTCTAACTGACTCAGCAGCTGTTTTTCATGGATAGGTAAAACAAAGTCTTTGTGGGCAGGGTATTCTTTTGCATAATCTGTTATAGAAGTTCCAGATGTTTTTTCTTTGCAGTGTTTCTTTGCAGATGTTATTTTTTTCTTTCCTTTCCTCCTATTTCTATACAAAGAAAGATTTTTCCCAAATTGTTCTGAGCATTTTAAAGCCATTGTACATACTCATCAAATACTCCTTTTTTTTTCTTTTTTTTTTCTTTCTTTCCCTCATGAGACTGTTGTCATGCGTCCTAGAACCTGTTTGGATACATCCAGAGTCATGTTTCTGAATAATAGTGGAGATGTGACTGTGCCTTACCGCTGTCTATATAGTATAGAAGGAATAGCCTCAGACTTGGATCTTAGTATCCTTAAACATGAGGATATGTAAGGGTTAAAGATGTCAGGATTAAAACCGTGCCTGTTTGACTGTTCCCACTAATAATAGATACTTCTTCATTTATTCACTTTTGAAAGCATTTGTATTCTACAAGTATTTTTTGTTGCTCCTTTTACAAACAAATAGGAAATACATCTGGAGAATCATGACAGTGCACCTTTCCACCCCAAGCACAGTAAAGGATACTTTTCCCTAGGAACTGAACCAGCACAGATATGGTCACCTGCTTATACTGCAGCATTTAGTTAGAGATATGAGTGTATGTGAACGGTCTGTGGTCCTACATCTCCCAAGACATTGTCTCAGATTTGGGCCATGTCCATAAGACATCCATAGATTGATGTTCCTTAGTAAAACATGTCTTCTCTTACTGGAGACACTATTAAATATTTGTGTTGGATAAGGGTAAGAAATGTCACACTTTCTGTTCCGAAGCTCTTCCTGATGGCCTCTTTTTCCATCACATTACCTCCATTTTTATGATGTTGCTGATGCAGTTTCCCTCCACAGCTGTCTGTGGCACCAAGTTGAAGAATTTTGGTAATTTCTGTGTTGGGTACTTTGACATGTTTTGAATCAGTCTATCTCATTCGAGTTTAATTGTGTTACCCTTAATCCTAGTGTTGTGAAATTTGTTGAAGAGGTCTGCTTTACAGCTTTTACACCACATTTGTGATTCTATAAACCCTGCTCAGATTCCGTTTCTCAGCCACCTCTCCTCCAAATTGGAGCCCTAATTTTTTTTTAGTCTTTCATTCCTTCCTAGAGCAACCACACAATCACTTTGTTTAATTTGCCTTTCTCAGTACATGCTGTATCTCTCTTATATCTGTCCTGGGATGTAGGGACCAGAACTGTGAACAGTAGTCAAAATCTGACACATTTTCTCTAAGAAGAGCTTTTATTCACTTGCCCCATAAATGCCCATCACTCTGATCATGATGTGTCTGTCAGCCACACTGCTTCCCTCTAAGTTGACGTGTTGGATTGCTGTTATTCTAGGGTGCTGGAGGGGAATCTTGTGCCATATCTTCCTGGTTTCCAATCCAAGGTGCCAAAGTCTACTGGGGCACAGAGTTGACTAGCATAAAATGATTCATGCAGACCAGAAGTGGAATGCACATTGATCAGAAGTTGAATATGTGCTGACAAACCACCTCAAAAAAAACGCAGAAAGTAAGTGACCAATCTCTTTAGTTGCTATGTGCCTAACCTTAGATATATGCATCTATAAAGATATCTGCTTTTGTACTTCATGAGGTATTTATTAAAATAGTGTATTAGTCTGAGAAAGCTTTAGTTTTCTAATGAAGGCACATATCACAACAGTACCTACATATTCATTGCAGATAGCATATTAAAAAAACAAACCTACTCATATTTGTTCTTTAACTTCACAGATATTGAACCATGGCCATTAAAGTTGAGGTCCATGCACCTATGGACTGAAGGAAACTGTTTCAAGATAGTTGTAAGTTGTAACAGTCTCCTTTCAGCAATTATTTATACTGATGGACTTAGCATTTTGTTGTTAAACATTTTGTCATCCTGGGATATTCCTAAAAACATATTCAAATAAAAAAACTGAAAAATTAAAGTTCACCTTGTATGTACTACTCTGGACAGCTCTATCTGGAGAAAAATAAATACAGCAGATATAAATTAAAAGGCAAGGGGGCAAAATGATCTGAGCTGGAAAGAGAAGAGTGCAAGTTTATTTTATTTCCTCGGTTGTGTAGGAGTCTTGTTAACCAGTATGTAATGCATAGTCATGTAATAAAACATGCTAGACATTAAAAGGCAAAAACCCAGTTCACAGATGTTGTAACGTTATGAGATAATTTTAGGGAGTGAATGGGGTGAAAAGGCTGGATTTGTTAGAGAGGAAAATACCTATGGAGGCCTTTTCTGTGAGCAATACCATGACTTCATTACCATGTCAATTCTGGGAAAAGGCTCTGATTTAACACAGCAGTTGGCTGGATCCATATGGAGCTGATGAACCTCTGAATGAATAGTGAATGGAAAAACTGCTGGAATCTGCCTTCAGCTTTGTTCCCAGGATGACCAATGTAAAAGGCCTAAGAGCAATACTGCACAGATGGTGTAAAGAGGTAAGAAATCTGCAGGGTTTAGTTTACTTTTTCTTATCCTACATTATTTGGGGTTTTATTTTGTTTTTAGACGTATTTCAATTTCTCCTGCTCTATTTGTTTAAATGTCTTTACTTACAAAAAATGTAAAAAAAACCCATAACAGAACAGCTTTTGGGAAATGAAATCTATAAGTGTATGTAGCACTGAACATTTACATAAAAATACAATCTAAAACATTGAATTTTGTATGGTATAGAAGTAATTGAAAGCATAATTACGAAATAGTGAAAAAGGCTAGTTAAAATTTAACAAAGAACTTTGGAATTACTTCTTCAATTCACCCTATGTTGTGGGAATATGCAGATGTTCACATTTACACAGTCATGTATGTCCACTAGGGTTACATGCTTTTATAGTCTGAAGCATCCTCACAAGTGCCAATACAGTAAATCAAAAGACTCTCTGGCATTATCTAGTTTCCTTTCTGGCTTTAAAAGTTAGAACAGATGTCACAAGAGAGGACAAAATGGATTTTACCCACCGAGAGGAGCTTTTCTTGCCATCATTAATAGGAGGCTCCTTGAAATGCTAATGTACACAGTTTGTGTTGCCGGGTTTGCATAGAGATGGTGGGAAACAGCTCTGATCCCAACAAAACCTTTTGTTATTAATCAAGAAAATCTGCTCTTCTGAAACAGCAAAGCACTGAAATGGTGTGGCTACTTGCAATGCAGAGATCTCTATAGCAATCTCCAATGAACAAAAATGTAATAAAAACTGTTCTACGAGATACGGCACATGTAGCAATTTATTTTCAGTGATTTTGCATACAAACTTTCTACTTTCCTTTGTCATTTCAGCACGGATATTTACAGTTGAAAGAATATACTGTTTCGCTATTTCTTCTGAATCTCCACTCTTTAAAATGTTTCATTTCATAGTAAATCTAAAAACAAGCTTGGCTCAAAAAGAACTTTGAGAAGCAAGCTCTTACTTCTAGAGAAAAAATGTATAATGGAGCGTGAGTTTCTGTTTGATTTGCTGCTAATACCGTGTAAGATATTTTTACTTCATTGGAATATAGGATTATGAGATCTTGTGAGCCCTTTATCAGTACAATCATCCTCTGCAATATTAGGGCTAGTGTGTTCCAGCTTTTCTAAATAGGACTTGGTAATTTTTAGTAATCTTTACAAGGAGCGGTTCAGACCTTGGCATTGCATAGTGACATATGACCTCCTATTTTTAAGTAATACCTACACAATTAAATCTGCTGTCAGCATTCATTGCCTTGCTTAGGATGCCTCAGCAGAAGCCTTCTTTCCCGAAAGTACTTGAAGTATGAATTGCAGCCAAAAATTCAGGGAAAGCCTGAATTAAAATGTAAATTCTTCGCCTAGCATTACTCATCACT